CCGTCAGATGAAGAAAATGATATGTTGGATTTGGCATTTGGATTAACCGAGACGTGAGAGACTCGAAGATTTTGATGACAGAATTTTCCTTTATTTCTTTCTCTAATTATGATGTCCGATAATTAGTTCGCGATTAGGATGCCAGATTGTTATGAGAAAAGATTTAGATGGAATAACAGTCACAATACCGGCTGCAACGAGGAATGTTCAATTGAAAGGTGCGGACTTTGTTTTGAAATAGACTCGGTTTACTAGTACTTCATCACTGATCGAGGAACTGTATCATTAAATTTATTACAGATCTTCAACCGTCAAAAACTGTATAACAATAAACTATGAAATTCCCGGGAAATTCATCAATATTCATATTTTGCATTGGTAAAATGGGTTTTCTCAGAAAGAAAAATTAATTTCAATTAAATAAATTCAGTTGAAAGATCCAAATCTTCGATTTCAGCTTTAACGATATGTTTCCCAGGTATCATAACCAATCCAACGAATCTTTTTTCAACTATCATGAAATTTGTAAGATTATGTATGCTGTCGAAAATAGAAATGCATAAAGTATTATGAATAAGGCGTTGTCTATACGAACCTCCTCGAAACTCTTCAGTCTGTGCTAAAATAATGTTTTTATGCTTATCTATGCACATAAAAGTTCCAAAAAATAAGCGTTCATCTGAAGCTGTTATACGAGCTTTTAAATTTAGATAGGAACGTAGTTGTCGAATTTTTGGTGTGTCGGCCATTAAGAGAATAAAACTTCTACATAATGTGTGACTCCTTAACCAATCAAATAAATGATCAATGATCATCGATAAATCATGTGATATTTTAAAATGCTTTACGCGTTATCAATAATTTCAATAATTTGATTTCTTCGCGATCATGGATGTTGAAAAAGCGAGCGAGAATGAAAAATTAAGCTTGCTTGCTCAGATACACGAGGTTGAGACCGAAATTGATGATCTGCAGAAACGCATTAACCAAGTACGACAGAGAGGGCAAAACCGTTCGAATCAAGTTCAGACTTCCATAATGTACTTACGAATAGACGTCTTTTCCTTGATTCGGTATCTTTATTGACTAATCTTTCTTTGTAGCGAGCGCCTAATTGATATCAATAATCGATCCTTCAAATTAGAGTTTAGTCGCCTTTTGCACAATGAATCTGGCTCGCGAAGTAAATGTGACTTCGATCAGAACAGTGACTCAACCGTAAGTCTCAAGATTATAGAATCGTCTCGAACTTCATAACCTACATGTTTAATTAATTAATTTTTTTTTCAGATTAAACGCCTTGCAACATACACGAAAGTTCGGTTTATTAATGTTAATAATCATCTAATTGGTTCCAATACTGAGGGTGAGATAACGCGTCGTTCTCCTCAAAACGTACATGTATATAATATTAAATATTTGAAAACTTGTTAGGTCTTATCCGGAGATACGATATTTCGGGCGTTACTCGTGGCCTTT